CTTGAATTTACTTATACTAGTGAGTACCTCTGAATTCGAAGGGCTTCGAACCCAAACGTTCCACTCACCGATACCAGAGATGGTAATACTTCATCCAAAAAGTGCCAACTTGGCTCACACACTTCGTTCACTTCGATCAACAAGGAAATGAACATTTCTCTCCACGAGTCCGCCTGACCTTATATACTTCTTCGACTTTTGAGTAGAAGTTAAGAAGTGTACAAAACTATAATGCAACAGCAAAAAAATTTAATGACCGACACAAAATTACCGAGACATCATCACAGCTTGGAAAGGGAGATTTAGTGAGTAGGAATGGAGGGGGTGAGGGATTTAGGCAGTCTTGCGCTGTTCCTATTAGGATCGCTGCCAGAAGAGAAAGACTGACCATTCTAGTGCTTCAAGCTTACAGAATGTACCACAAGCACCAGGCAATTAAACCATGGTCGCATTACTACATTCCTGCCAGACGTCACATTTTCAAAGTGGCCTACTTAAAAATTGCCCAGACATCAAAAGAGGTCAAGTGAGTATATTAAGTGCCGCATGCTGTGAAACGAATAATTTGGAGGCACCAGATGACAGGTTGAAGTAGAGGCGACAGTTATTATTCATCCCAAAAACAGAAATCCACTCAGGCAAGAACCCCTAAAAGCGAACTAATATGTGTATTTTACACCCGCCGTAATCAACATAAATTCATATTACGCAGATAAGACGACATCGCTTAGGCAGAGCAAGAATAATTGGAACCGATTTCAAGGATGAAGTAAGTGAAACATCACATGTTTGCTGCCTTGATCCATACAACCAAGAGCCTATCAAACTTGCTCCTGTGTGAATATAGAAATAACGTGGCCGTTTTGGAGACTTTGTTACTAGCACTAACATTTCACCGACAGATAAGAAACGGCTTCGAGGTCCTCCAAAACCTCCAGGAGCATCATCACTCATGGAGCAAACATGTGGGTTATTGAGATCGAAGAGGGCAATCAACCGCCACAACCGTTGCACCATGGACCAGAAACACCCTGCTTCTATGCAAGGCTCCAAACTAGGTGCTACCAACTATCCAAAACTAATAAAACACATGCCACACATGTGTGATGCACTGAAATTAATCGTTTTCGGGGTGAAAGGTTGAAAAAAA